GGATGTTTATCAGATGGGAACATATTAATCCATTTCTGTTTTATTTCTTCATTTGATACTATTTTTTGTTTGTTGTTATAATCTAATACTATATAAGAAACTAATTCAAGTTTTTCAGCAAATGTAATTCAGCTTATTTAATTTCATTCAATTTGCCTTTAGTCCGGATCAGGCATGCAATCATCCCAAGCTAGCGCTCGCTGATCGGCGGGGAACATGTTCAGTAGTGAACCGTTTGGTGACTGAACATGTTCGGTTGCGAACCGTTCGGTCACCGAACTATCGGTTTGGTGCATGCCTATTCTTAACAATAAAAACTGATCTATTTATACATGCAATTTTGCGCAATAATCTTGACTATACTCTACGCAATAACTTTGAATAGTCTTGCACTATAAGCTTGAATATATTCTTGCGCAACAACTTAGCCTATATGCTTGGGCAATAATCTTAACTATGATCTTCTCCCTTATGGCGCGACTCTAGTACGTGACATAACATATATATTCTGAATCTATATACTTTAATCTATCTTTCTATGGATTTTTCTCAAAAATGCTTGTTTGCGCCTAAAGTCAGTTTTGGGATGAGGGCCTTAACGAATTGTCACTCTATGATATAATACATAGAAAGTTTTATTTTGCTCACATGTTCATCTTTGAACATACTGCATTTTAGATTATGTTGCCAAGCACTACAACTGACTGTTCAATATGTTTGAATCCAATGACCAAAGGTTCATCATTATACACAACAGCATGTAATCATACATTTCATTTTGAATGTATAACAAAAAGTGTTCAAGCTAATGTGACAGAATGTCCATTATGTCGTAATTCAATGCACCCGTTGGTTAGTATTGTTACAAATGATAACCTACAACGAGAAAACGTAAGTTTAACAGTCGCTTTGCCGTTATTTTTTCGGATAGTTGCACAGTGAGCGCGGATAGTTGAAGCGCTTAAGCGACGATCTCACGTGGAGAGAGCATGTTGACGAGTTAGTTCTCGGATGCAGAAGGCGGCTTGGAGAAATGTTTCGTACTTTCAGCTCCAGTTAGCACCCGGTTATCTATTTTTTTGAGCTTGTGTTCTTAGCAAACTCGATTACTGTTGTCTCGTCTACGATAGCAATTGTTATGCCAAAACTCTTGACAAAATTTTGAAATTAGCCGCAAGAATGATTTCCAAAAAATTCAACGGATCGGTGTCAGAGTTAATTCAAAAACTAAAACACACCGATCTGTCGTTGAGAAGAAAATACTTTTGTTTTATTCATTTCTATAAAGCAATGAACAAGTTATCGCCGCTTTCAGTTTTTGATCCACCCTTTATAACACCGCTGACGGATCGTAGAACAGAGCGTCTGAATACAAGTACGGTTTTAAAACACGTAAGGGCAAACACGAAGCCAGTCACAACACCGTGTCTTCCAAAAAAACGAGTAGCGTCATCTTTTTTCTATCAGACTGCCGACGATTGGAACGTCTTACCAGAAACGGTTGTTGCGGTGCGGTCTATTCTGTAAGAACGTATCTATAGGTATAAGCGTGTATTCTCTTTCTTATGGTGTTGCTACTCCAGGTGGCAGTGTGTATAAGTATTTTTTACTTTTTCTTCTTTCCTACAGCAGCTCTTTTTCGTAAAGTCAGCTTTGTTTCTAAAATAAAATCAAGTTCAAGTTCAAGTTGCAAGGAGGTGCCAGGGGTGCCGAACAGGCGGTGAGGATGATGGGCTAAGGACAAATTTTAATTGAAAGAAAACACCTCAGGCTATCAAGCATCTTTTTTTAAAATAAGTCAAAATAAATATTAGTTGAACAAGAAAAAATGTTTTCTTTGCCAAAATTTAATAGTTTTTCTATAACTTTACAACTGTACACAGCGAGTTTTTACTACTATCCGTACCAAATGGTCGTGCAGTCGGTTGCTTTTTGAATAGCTCCTCACGGGAGATAGATAATGAAGTGCGGTTTTCAGCATCATTATCTATCTCCCGTGAGGAGCTATTCACGGGATCTGGATCTTAGAGGTTTTTTTTCACCAATAGTCAAATGACGTTCATTTGGCGGTAAAAGCTTCAAGTCTCTTTAGATTTGTGATGAAGTCAAAATTGCTCCTAGTTGACACTTCCTGGGCGTGTCAACTAGGAGCTACTGGCACTCCCATGCAAAAAACCTTGCTGGAAGTGTAAACAAGACGTCATCTGACATATGAGCGGCCAGACGTTTGAGCGATCCTTGAACTATACTCATAGCTTCTTAAGAAACAATTTTGTTTAAATTAGGGAGGTTTTGTTTTCCTTCAAGGGTACTGTTGATCCTGATTTCATCGGGTAAGAAGTTGTTGAAAGAATTACGTTGTGATGCATTATTGTCTTTATTATCATCCGATGGTTTTGCAGGTTGAGGTCAAACTCATTCACATGCATGCAAGCATAAATTATCGATCAAGTTTTCTAAAATAAAACGTCATTTTTAACTGTTGTTTTAGTCAGAGAATCATGCCCTGGTTATTCGCTCTTAGACTGCGTCCAACGTCTTCAGTTTGACTTTGGCATAGATAATGACGCAGATACTCATAATCTGATGTTCTCTATTGAATTTAAGCATCGAAACGAATATTTTTCTGACTAGGCTGAAGAATAATATATTTATTATGAAGGAAGTTCTCAAGTAGGTTAGATAAATGTTAATATTCAGCCTATAAACTACCTGTTCGGACACTCGTTTTTTTGTTAAGGATTATTTAGATTATGGAATTTAATCCTCGAGAGATGGATGAAAATTAATGCTGTTTTCGAACAATGAGAGCAATTTCTAGTTTGAAAATTTACTCATAGCGTTGGTAATAGAAGCCTTAGAATTGAAGAGCTATAAAATCTTCACGCTATGTAATGGGAGCTGGAGAACAGGTTTTGCGCCGCTATGATTTTACATTCATCTTTTTCTTAAAATTGCTTTAGCCTGGACAGTCCAAAAATCAGATGAACTTGGGTGCACGCCTACAGCCCAAATCTTGCCAAACTTTAAGAAAAGAACTCTTTTTCAGTTTATAAATAAAAAGCATTTCTTAGCATTAAAACTCTAAAAAAAATGTTTACCTGTATTTCGAAGCTGCTAAAATACAATGATAGGATATGAAAATTTTGGTGAGGGTGACATCTTATTAAAACTTAACTTCGTGAAAAAGCAAGCTCATCAGGTGCTGTTGTCGCAGATAGACATGATCGTGTGAAACTCCTTTCTAGAACAGACTAGAATCAAGTATCTATCGCTTCATATTATATACCCTTGTTGCAAAAAAATTTGGAACTAGTTTGATCAGTATCTCAGTATTAAATTGTACATCAATTTTTATCCTGTTTTTTGCTCTTTTATATGATACATAAATGTTGCATGTCATATATTTTGAGTGGAATAGAGGATTTTTCAAAGGAAACCGGATAAATAAAGATTAATGTTTAGAATCATCACATTCTTATTCATGTTCTAAACAAGTTGCATTATTTCGATATAAGTTATGACTGCAACGACGCAAATCATAATTAAAATCAAACCATTCGACAACATCCTGTTTATTACATAAGCACATCTGTATGTTATCATAAAAACATTGATTTGATTGTTGACGACGCTGTTAAATAAAGAAGAAGCTTCATAATATTTAATTCGTGTGAAAGTATCGTTGAACTGAAAAGTTCATTTATATGTGGACATGTATTCAGTGGTGTTATTTCCACTCAGTGCTTCTTCTTTCTGTAGCCAAACCGGATGTTAATCGTTATGAACATTATTAATGATCGACTGAATAAAGATAAGTCCACGAAGATGTTGCTGAAGATAAAAAATGTAACGTTATCTTCGTATAATATTTTTATTTAAAATAAATTATTTTATTGAGACAAGACATTTAATTATTAGATAAGTTAAAAAAAAGTGTAACTGAGGGATATAACACAACAATAATAAACCATAAATATAATATATAATTAAGATAAGACTGTCGAGTATCTGGAGTCGCTATAAATTGTGTCAAATTATTGCGTAAGCTTTGTTGGGAATAATTCGTTTCATTAATAGATCTTGTATTTTTGTAAATATGAAATAAAGGACATTTGCTTAACTGTTTTGCATCTCCAATTGCGTGTTTTATGGCTAATTTGAACAAATGTTCCGCAACTGACACTGATTTGTATATAGGTTTGTCCACTTTCATCATAAAACAAGGATAATCAGTACAATACATTTTCCTTAGTTCCCATATGCGATCCATGGTTATGTGTTCACCAGTTTTTGGTGCATCAATAGACCGATAAAATAGATTAGCAATCTCTACTGCTTCTTTCGATAGAGTGCCAAGTTTATCGGCAATTACTGAATGTGTGTCACATATGATACCATAAAAATGTGTTCCCATCGAGTTAACAATATGATCAATAATATCTTCATTTGTTATCTTTGCAACTTTGATCTTTTTCGCAGATGTGTGAGGTAGAGGATCAATTGGATTTTCAATGGTCAAATCTTTGCCCCAATAAACCCAATATTGATCACCATCGAGATCAGAACCACTTATTTCGTTAGGATGCGGCCGATTCCCTTGAGTGGGAAATACGATACAGTCGCGAATACAGTGTTGTAATTTAGGAATATCGACTGCTTCCAGTTTTCGAATATCGCCTGGATATAAGCATGGATTCTTCGTCACCAAGACAGTTCCTAAGGGGAAACATTCGATAAAAGCATCCGGTAGTCAAAATATGCTTTTGAGAAACTTTTGCTACTTCTCAACACTTTACCTTTAACAACTGCATATGATTTTACTCTTCCTTTCACTTCATACTGTATGAAACATTGTCCATACTTCAACTGGCCAGTTTCATCAGCTATGCCAAACATGTTTCGCGCTTCATTGGCATACAAAGGAATTTTGTTTCGCAAAAGATTTTCTTTTCTATTAAGAGGAGAATAAAAATGAGCCAGCTTTTAATTCTCTCTACCAAAACCATCTTACACATTCAAATAACGTTGGTTTTGTTTGACCATTATTGCTGTCTCAAATACATTCAAGTACGTATTTTCAGGTGAATGCCAATGTACAGGCATTTTACTACGATTCTGGAGTGATTCAAATACAGCCTTCGTATTACCATGATCAGATAATAATCTTATTACTTGATTATTCAAACTTAAATACACTAACATAAACTCTGAATCTATTTAATAGAACTTTTTGGTTTGAAACTCACTTGGACGGGAATGATCGCAGATTTCTAATGACCAATCGTTACTATTAAACTTCCACATACTGTTTCTAATTTTTATGTAAAAATCGTCATGTGTTGATTCATGATCAATCGCTAACATGCCTTTACAACCACCAATTCGAACCTGATAAGCTGATGGAATATCTGACTAGAAAATGAAGAATTCGCGCGTGTGGTTTTGATTAAAGAACAGAAGTAGCGTACATTTTCTTTTACGGATATTCCTATTCGCTCGGCCACTTCTTGAGCTAAACCTAATGAAATTTGACCAATACCCTCGGTGAAACTATATCCATTTGCTTCAATATCAGGAACACGTATGACAGAATAATCAGCAATAGGTTTTGACTTCTTATCAGTGAGACTTGGTCTTGTTTTCTACATTAGAAGAATTATTACATCATTGGTATTTAGTTAATAGTACAAGGTACTTACGTGTCCTAACCAAGATTTAGCTGATTTGAGAAGCCATCTTATTGGGAATAAACGATTTTTTTGTTCATTATTTTCCATATCGATAGTGATTGAATTGTTAGCGATGTACTGTAGTTGTAACTAAGAACGTAGAAACAACTATGATGTATCTTTCAGTCTTACCGACAGCAAGTGACTTACGCCGGTTGATTTGGATGTAGTGAAAAAAAGTCCCACTCTAGCCACATAGGTTGCCACATTTTTGATATCTGAAAAGTCTCCAAATCGATTCCTTGCACATTCAATGGTTTCGGTTTCGTCCAACGCGATAAACCAATACGATGATTCTTTCAGCTGACTTGGTGAGGAACCAATAAATTTGAATGATTTACCATTATACTGAATTCCATTTAACATTTGATCCTTAAAACGTTCCCTTATGCTGTCACTAAATTCCATTAACATTTCATTATTTTCATCGCGATTATGTACGAGAAGAAAATTATCACTACCGAAGTGTCGTAGTGCACGGTTTCCAATTAAGCATGTTAGCGGAAGAAAAGCAAGACGTAATGGTGTAATCATTACAGTTTTAACATGGAATTCTCCATCGCTGGCATAATCAAAATCAATCGTTGTTGATCCAATCTTTTCCGTATTCCATTGCTTTAAGATGTCTTCTAGCGGATAACAATGATTTGCAATTAATTTCTGCCAAAGATCACAGCAAATGTCATAAAACTGAGAACCTGATTGCTTCTCAAATGCCTTGAATTGTTCGTGAACGGTCGATGATTTGATATATTTATCTTGAAATACATAGCCAAGTGAGTTTAACATTTGTATTCCATAACGTCCTTCTCGGGTTGAAAAACTTTGAAGAATGCTTGCATTGTACACTGGAGTCGAGCTGTTCAGTTTGAATGCGGCAAAATTAATTTCAAACTTCTCGTAATCGGCATTAGTATGTCCGTGTAATGGTAATAAGCGTAAGAATGACCATGCCATATTCTGCAGGAGAAAATTGTAGTAGTAAATCGCTACTTTGTGCAATTATGTTTTTGATAGAACCTGAGTCTGCATCACTGCACACTCTAAATAACAGACATTATCAAAGACTGAAACTTAACAATAGTAGGACGTAGTATCTGACATCCTTATATCTTCAGTGTTTTTACCTGGTGAAAAGTTTATTTTGTTCCTTTTTGTTTATGATAACTCGATGCTTCAACATCAATACGACTTGAACTGGGGAACTTGAATCATCTGATCTGCTTCGGTTAACTAGAATTTGTTTTTGAATACTCTTCAGCGGAATAAGCAGCTGTTGATTATCTGCTTTATAGTTGATCTGAATCATGATAGGCCGATTTTGATCCTTAACCACACGCAGCCTACCAACATCACGTAGATTTTTACTGTGATCAAAGAACAGATCGTATGAATACATTGTGCCGAAACTGAATGAAACATCATACTCATTTAAGTACTTTGTCTCACGCATTAACACTTTAGATTCTAACCAATCTAACGGTTTTACTTCAATTGTAAACCACACGTGTGTATGACATGTCGTGAGAATCTCTAACAGATAATCACGTATTTTATTTGCCTCGTGTCGATCAAGTGTACACTTGTATTCACTACTATTTGTTATTTGTATCGATGAATTATTCAATCCTAAGATTTTCTTCAAATTACCATCAATAATTGAACCAGCATATTTTTCGCCAACGGTAAGATTTTTAAATGTACACACAATCTTTGCATTTTGTCCTTCATTGTCATCAGCAGTACGTTGCTGTTGGTGAATAGCATCAAGCTCTCTGAAATAAAGCAAAAGAATTAAAGAACTGCCTACACGAGCATCTTGAAATTTTTCAAGCATATACTCTGGAGAAACAGAACCGATATGAGTACGTGACCATTTTCTTCTCTCTCGATATCCGCATAACTTTTACAACGTTTTTACCGTGTTTACTTCACGCGCGAAATAGTTCAAACATACGGTTCGAGTTCAGGACAGTATATAAAAATATCTAGAGCAAATTTAGCAACAATAATAGAAGTTATCTTATTTATGTAGACATTCCATACAAGATATGACTCATAGTTTGTACTATTATCTTACCTTTCCATGAATGACTAATTTCCACGTTAGCAGAATCTGTATGATGCAAGAAGAGAATAAAACGGTGTAACATATATATACAGAAAAATTTATTTTTCCTTTTTCGTATACCTCATTGTCTAAATTAACAATTTCTCTACTTTTGTTTCATTTATGGCTTTTTAAAGAATAACAAAAAATGACTTAAATGTATAGAACAGCTAAAATTATGCCACGTCAAAAAAATGTTGGAAAAAACCCATAATAAATCAGCCAATTGCAACCGCAAAACGTTGAAAATTTGTTTTCAATTTCAAGTTGAATGAATTAAAAAAAGTTTGTTTCCATTTATACATCAAGTTTAATTTTGATCTTTTTCTCAATTATTTCTCAGAGCAGTGGCAAAACTAAACGTTCTAGAGCATTGACATTCAGTGCCTGTTGAATCAAATAAAGTTATTGGGTTAACATTCGATAAGGTTTACGGTCCTGATCCTCACACACAGAAAATTGTATTTAGATTGGAGCCATGGTTTCTTGTCGATTATCTGGAAGGAACATTGATTTTGGCTGAATTGTATAGAGGTGGACCAAGCAATATATGTTCAACAAAAGTTTTTATAGGATTCAACCGTAGGCGGAAACAATTTGTTTCAAATCTACGGTCATGCATAAGATATTGGTTGACAATGAAAATACGAAGTTCATTAGAAACAGCAACTTGTTTTATGAAGGAGAAAGCTAGTTGAAAAATATATTTACTATCCATCCAAAAAGTCGGTGCGTGTGACTATTTTTTGAATAACTTGAGAACACAAAGAGATAGAGACTTGCGGTTTCCACCATTCGATAGCAGACATCCTAGCGCACATTTTAGGTCAAGGAAAGTTTTGAAACAGATTTTTGAAAACCTGGTTTTTGAGAGGATCTCTGGAAAACCATGTCACCAGGAAAAGGTTTTCGGTAGAGACCGTAAACCTTATCGAATGT